TCTGGAAACTCTGAATCTTTAAATTCTATGGAATCCTTGAAATCGTTAAAACCTCTGGAATTTTTGAAATATTTAGAACCAATTTTTGGAATAGTAAATCCCTAAATTCCAAAAATTTGTGGATTCTGAAAATCTGTAATATTTAGAATCTGTAGAATTTCTAGATTTTTTTTGAGGCTTCTTTGCAATCTCTCAAATTTTCGTGAATTTTAAAATAGTAAGTTTAGAATTTTTAGACTCCTTAGGATTCTCAAGATTTTTAAAATCTTTAGAAAATTTAAAATTTGGAGAAACCCTAGAATCTAAGTTCTACCATTTGGGAATTTCTACAATCTCTGAAATCTCGAGGATCTTTGGAACCTTCGGAAATTCTGAATTTCTAGATTCTATGGAGTCTTTAGAATCTTCGAAACCTCTGGAATCTTTGAAAATTTTACAATCAGTTTCAGGAATTCTTGAAATTTTTGGAATATTTAGATTCTCTGGAATTCCTGATTTTTTTTTATTCTTTGCATTCTCTGAAATTTTCATAAGCTTTGATTTTTCTAAAAGTTCTAGAATTTTTGAAATATTTGGAATGACTGAAAAAAATCCCTAACGCGCTTAAGTACACCCGTTTGAAAGTTACAAACTAGTTGGATTTTTTAAACAACACCCTGTAGAAACGAGTTCAAATCTTGCATGATTGTGGAGGTCTGGAATCTTCACAGTTTTTAGAATCCTTAAATCCTTTGATTCCCTAAAATTCTTACAATGTTTAGATTATTAGAATCGTCAGAATTTCTAGAATCTCTGGAAAGTTTGAATCGTTAAATTCCATGGAATCTTTGAATTCGTTAAAACCTCTGGAATTTTTGAAATATTTAGAACCAATTTTTGGAATAGTAAATCCCTAAATTCCAAAAATTTGTGGATTCTGAAAATCTGGAATATTTAGAATCTGTAGAATTTCTAAATTTTTTTTGAGGCTTCTTTGCAATCTCTGAAATTTTCGTGAATTTTAAAATAGAAAGTTTAGAATTTTTAGACTCCTTAGGATTCTCAAGATTTTTAAAATCTTTAGAAAATTTAAAATTTGTAGAAACCCTAGAATCTAAGTTCTACCATTTGGTTATTTCTACAATCTCTGAAATCTCGAGGATCTTTGGAACCTTTGGAAATTCTGAATTTCTAGATTCTATGGAGTCTTTAGAATCTTCGAAACCTTAGGAATCTTTGAAAATTTTGCAATCAGTTTCAGGAATTCTTGAAATTTTTGGAATATTTAGATTCTCTGGAATTCCTGATTTTTTTTTATTCTTTGCATTCTCTGAAATTTTCATAAGCTTTGATTTTTCTAAAAGTTCTAGAATTTTTGAAATATTTGGAATGACTGAAAAAAAATCCCTAACGCGCTTAAGTATACCCGTTTGAAAGTTACAAACTAGTTGGATTTTTTAAACAACACCCTGTAGAAACGAGTTCAAATCTTGCATGATTGTTGAGGTCTGGAATCTTTACAGTTTTTAGAATTTTTAAATCCTTTGATTCCCAAAAGTTCTTAGAATGTTTAGATTATTAGAACCTTTAGAATCATCACCATTTTTAGAATCTCTAGAATCTTTCTCAGAATTTCGACCATTTGGGATTCTATATAATCTCTGGAATCTTTGAAATCTTTGTAAATAATTTCTGGAATCCTTGAAATTTTTGGAATTTTAGAAACTCCCGAGATTCGAAAAAACTGGAATTCTGGAAATCATATTTAAGATCTCTGGAATCCTTTACATTCTCTGAAATTCTGGAAATTTTTTAAATTTGTGAAACCTCTAGAATTTTTGGAATATTTTGAATTACTGAAAAATATATACGTTTCTTTTGAAAGTACAAACTAGTTGAATTTTTAAACAACACCCTGTAGAAATGTCTTTAAATCTTGTTTAATTGTGGAGGTCTGGAATCTTTAGAAACTTTAAAATGCTTAAATTCTTTTCTTAGAATCCCTAAAATACTTAAAAATTTAGAATCTTTGGCGTCTTTCTTCTTGCCTCTATGATCTCTCAAAAATCTTTACAATTTTTGGAAACTCTGAATCTCTAGATTTTATGGAATCCTTGAAATATGTAGAACCAATTTCAGGAATTCTTGAAAATTTTGGAATAGTAAATCCCTAAATTCCAAAAATTTGTGGAATTCTGAAAATCTTTGGAATATTTAGAATCTGTAGAATTTTTGAGGATTCTTTGCAATCTCTGACATTTTCATGAATTTTAAAACTTAGAAAGTTTAGAATCTTTAGACTCCTTGAATCCTGAAAATTTTTAGAAACATTAGAATTTGTAGAAGTTCTAGAAACCCTAGAATCTGTAGAATTTAAAAAAAACATGAATCTTAGAATCGCCAGAATTTATAGAATCTATAATCTTTAGAACCTTTTTTCAGAAGTTCTACCAATTGGGAATTTCTATATTCTATGGAATTTCGACAATCTTTGGAATCTTTGGAAATTCTGAATTTCTAGATTCTGTAGAATCTTCGAAATAACTGGAATCTTTGAAATTTTTGAAATATCAGTAAATCTTGAGATTAAAAAAAAAGTGGAATTCTGGAAATTTGTGGATTTTTTTGGATTCTTTGCAATCTCTGAATTTTCATAATCTTTGATTTTTCTGAAGCTTCTAAAATTTTTCAAATATTTTAAGTGATTAAATACGTCGAAATGAGTTTAAATCTTATTGATGATGGAGATCTCGAAACTTTAGAATCTTTAGAAACTTTAGATTATCGAGAGTCTTTAGAATCGTGAAAATTTCTAGAATCTCTAGAATCTTTAGAATCTTTCTTGAGAATTTCTACCATTTTTTGAATCTCTAGGATTACTGGAATAGGTAGACTCTTAAAGTCGTTTGGATTCTCTGGAAACTCTGAATGTCTAGATCTTTAAAATCTCTGCAATTTTTGAAAAAAGTTAAAAACTGGTTGCAGAGCTTCTTTGATTGTCGAGATCTGGAATCTTTAGAATCCTTAAAATATGCAAGTCCTAAAAAATTTAGGAACTTTAGTATTTTTAGAGTCTCTAAGACCTCTAAAACTTCTAGAATCTTTAGAAACTTTAGACTATTTAGAGTCTTTCGAATCGTTAGAATTTCTGAAATCTCAAAAATTTATAGAATCTTTAGAATCTTCAAAATTTCTACCATTTTTTTGAATCTCTAGAATTGCTGAAATAGCTAGACTCCAACGCTTGTACAATCTCTAAAATGTCTAAATTCTCTACAATCTTTAGAAGTACTTTACAATCAATTTCAGGAAATTTTGGACTCCCTAGAATTCTTAGAATCCTTAGAAACCTGAGAATCTTTACAACCCTCAGAATTTTCAGAATCTTCAGAATTTTTAACAGCTCTAGAATCTCTAGAATTTCTAAAACACTAGGACCTTAGATTGTTAAAATCTCTTAAATCCCTAGAATCTGCGGAATTTCTGGAAACCTCGAATCTCTAGATTCTATGGAATCTCTGGAGGTAATTAAGAATTTTCGTAAATCAAAAAATTGCATTTTAAAAATTTTTTGAAAATTTCAAATTGCGTTAAAATAACGACGTGTTAGGAATTATCTTCCTCTGGTTTTTGCCAATAAAATAAAATTTTCCAATTTGGAAAATATTTACTGATTTTAGCTTTTTTTTTTGGTTCGATTTATTTCTGTTGAGACCGAACCGAAGGCGAGGTTTACCGTCATATAATTCCAAAAATGTCTGACTAATTAAAATCCGTATTTAGAAATTAAAAACCATGGTTCTAAATTTTTTTTCTCGACATTTATCGTCTATGTCGATGTTTATTAGACAGATAATTTCCGAAACTACTGGACTGACTGTTGTCAAACACGAGACCCATTGTTTTATGCGCGCATTCCGGTTTTGCTGCCGAGCCGCAGGCGAGATTTACTTCAATTTTTGATGTATAGCGTGTATTGTAGTTCTTTTGGTCAAATTTTTAACATATTCGGTCCATACTTTATAATTTTGAAAAATAATAGAATAAATTAAAATTAATTAATTAATTAAAAAATAAAGAATTCTTGAAAATCCTCGAATCAAGATTCTTCTTGCTATTCATCCGTTGCCACCTTTCCAGGTATTGGTTACAGAGATGCAAATGAGATACATGTGAATGCAATTTCGGGCTTTGACCTCGTTCGGTTTTGCGAAGTTGATTCATCGATGACTTCTCCGGATTTTTCTTTTCACTTTCCAAATAACATTTTTTTTTTTAAATTAACACACCTCAAGATCCGTAAACACCAGATCATTCATAAACACTAGCAATAACAAGGTCCCCAACCCTAAACCCGGCGTAACGCCTCAAGCACGACTTACACCGCTACAACCGTAATTAAAACCCAACCAGAGTTTTCTGACCCGACTTCGTGTAGAATCCGCAAGGCCGTTTTCGGGCGAAATTGCGCCAGATGTGAACGAACAACCTATACCTTGCTTTCGTTCCAAATCGCAAGGTCGCAAGGTGAACGAAACAGACATCTTGAAAATTTTTTACCGCGCTATCAAAAGCGTGAAAGTCCGATATTCCCCAAACTTTCTACGGGCAACACGAACTCTGACGCACAAAGATGGTACGCAACCGAGTTATGCATCGACAAATTAATAACGGGGCCAATGTGCGAAAAAACTGCGTTACGAAACTAGTTTTATAATAACCATTCAAAGGAAAGTTTGCGTGCTATAGTGTACCAGTTGTGCAACACCCGCCCATTATGGGCAATTAAAAAATTATGTTGATTATTATTTTCGGAACTAAATGCCACCACGCACAATTTCGGAGACGGGGTTTAATAACTGGTCGAGGTTGTGTTTGGGTACTATTTCGACTATTTCGTTCTGTTTTATGAGTGTTTGTTTCTTTTGTTGTTAGACTTTCTCCTTTCTTCCGGCGTCGGCGGTTTTTGTCTTGATAACGATTTTTTGACCGATTTTAAACTATCTTCGCTTTCTTTCCAGATGGTCGGCCTTAAAATCGTCGATGAAATCTTGAACAAATCCTTCTATAAGCTAGGTCTTCTGGTGGGCCGCCACCCCGGCTACTTTCTCATCGTTCCGGTCCTGCTCACTCTGCTCGGCATCACCGGCTTCCAGCGCATCCACACCAACATCGACCCCGAGTACCTCTTCAGCCCCATCAACGGCGAGGGCAAGATCGAGCGCTCCATCGTGGAGAGCTTCTTCAAAGTGAACTACACTAGTAAATTCAACGTCGCCAGAATAACGAGAGCAGGTAACAAAGATGATCCGTGGGAAGCCGTGCCGTGGCCCACTGACCCCGTGCCTCTTCGTCTTTCAGGTCGTTTTGGGAGAGTGATCGTTACGTCGAAAGATGGGAACAAAAATCTGCTGCGGACGGTCGTGTGGAAGGAGCTGCGGCTGCTGGACGGGATCATCCAGAACATGACCGTGTACCATGATGACGACTACTTCACGTACAAGGATATTTGCGCCAGGTGGATGTCGGACTGCTTCCAGAACGATATCCTGAATCTGGACTATATTATGGATGACGTAAGTGGACACTCTCGGTTTTCACATTCGAGCCGGAATCAAGGCCAGGCGAAGTGCATGGCGCTTTCTCGCGAGGTCACAGGTTGTAGCCCCATTTCGCCAACATCGGAGTGTTGGACTCGTTCCAGCGGATCGTGACCCGGCGGAATTCTGTAAACATAAACAAGTAAACAAATTGTTGCTAATTCGGAATGGGAAATCGAGATGCGAGAGTTTTCTAACAAAGGAAATGTTTCTTCTGCGAGTGAATAACGTCCTGACTTATCGAGTTTCTCACGCTTTGGAGCCAACAAAAACAGATAAAGCTGGTTCGCTAGAGAAGTTTTCACGATTTGTGCTCGTTCGGGGTGTTTTAAAAATGTATTTGAGAAACACTCAGCCGCTTCTTTCTTAATGCTACGATTAAATTGGCCGTTGAATTGAAAAACTACAGATCGTTACTTTAGCCCCACGTTTTGGTTGGTTTCAAGGCGATTTTTTTAAGTTGCATCAGTGAGATAATTCGTTACACAACGAACTAATTAGAAGTTCTGCAACATTGAAGTTTTTTCGTATCTAGACGACTTAATTAAACGAGAAATAAAAAATTTAGCACAAACGAAATGCTTGCAACACTGATGTACGACTGGTTAAAAAAACTGCAGTCGCATCGCAATGTTTGTTAATTTGTTAGAAAATTCAGAGAGAAATTTCTAGAGAAAAAAATCGTACGAAAATTCCATATTATTTAAACTTTTTACAAGCACTAGAGTGGAAATATAGTGAGTAGAATATGTGGTGTATTTTTTTAACTGCTATAATATAAAAACACTCATAAATTAAGAGAATACCACAAAATAAAATTCGCAAGTGAACTCGTCTGGCTACTTTTATGTCAACTGAGACAATTTATTGGTGTATTCTTCCCCAAGTATTTCCACTGTAGGTGTTTTTAGATCGAGCTGCAGACGAAAATTTTACGATTTCCCATAAGAATGATTCAGAACCCCCACTACATAATTAAAAAAAAACTTCCACTCACGTCGCAATATTTGTTAATTTGTTAGAAAACTCAGAAAGAAATTTTTAGAGAAAAAAAATCGTACGACAATTCCATATTACTTAAACTTTTTACAAGTACTAGAGTGGAAATATAGTGAGAAGAATATGTGGTGTATTTTTTTAACTGCTATAAATAATATGATTAAAGACATGGATAAAAACACCCATAAACTAAGAAAATACCACAAAATAAAATTCGCAAGTGAACTCGTCTGGATACTTTTATGTCAACTGAGACAATTTATTGGTGTATTCTTCCCCAAGTATTTCAACTGTAGGTGTTTTTAGATCGAGCTGCAGGCGAAAATTTTACCATTTCCCATAAGAATGATTCAGAACCCCCACTACATAATTAAAAAAAATTTCCACTCACGTCGCAATATTTGTTAATTTGTTAGAAAACTCAGAAAGAAATTTTTAGAGAAAAAAAATCGTACGACAATTCCATATTATTTAAACTTTTTACAAGTACTAGAGTGGAAATATAGTGAGAAGAATATGTCATGTATTTTTTTAACTGCTATAAATAATATCATTAAAGACGTGGATAAAAACACTCATAAACTAAGAAAATACCACAATATAAAATTCGCAAGTGAACTCGTCTGGATACTTTATGTCAACTGAGACAATTTATTGGTGTATTGTTCCCCAAGTATTTCCACTGTAGGTGTTTTTAGATCGAGCTGCAGGCGAAAATTTTACGATTTCCCATAAAAATGATTCAGAACCCCCACTACATAATTAAAAAAAACTTCCACTCACGTCGCAATATTTGTTAATTTGTTAGAAAACTCAGAAAGAAATTTTTAGAGAAAAAAAATCGTACGACAATTCCATATTATTTAAACTTTTTACAAGTACTAAAGTGGAAATATAGTGAGAAGAATATGTGGCGTATTTTTTTAACTGCTATAAATAACTTGATTAAAGACATGGATAAAAACACTCATAAACTAAGAAAATACCACAAAAGAAAATTTCCAAGTGAACTCGTCTGGATACTTTTATGTCAACTGAGACAATTTATTGGTGTATTCTTCCCCAAGTATTTCCACTGTAGGTGTTTTTAGATCGAGCTGCAGGCGAAAATTTTACGATTTCCCATAAGAATGATTCAGAACCCCCACTACATAATTAAAAAAACTTCCACTCACGTCGCAATATTCGTTAATTTGTTAGAAAACTCAGAAAGAAATTTTTAGAGAAAAAAAATCGTACGACAATTCCATATTATTTAAACTTTTTACAAGTACTAGAGTGGAAATATAATGAGAAGAATATGTGGTGTATTTTTTTAACTGCTATAAATAATATGATTAAAGACATGGATAAAAACACTCATAGACTAAGAAAATACCACAAAATAAAATTCGCAAGTGAACTCGTCTGGATACTTTTATGTCAACTGAAACAATTTATTGGTGTATTCTTCCCCAAGTATTTCCACTGTAGGTGTTTTTAGATCGAGCTGCAGGCGAAAATTTTACGATTTCCCATAAGAATGATACAGAACCCCCACTACATATTTAAAAAAAAACTTCCACTCAAATCGCAATATTTGTTAATTTGTTAGAAAACTCAGAAAGAAATTTTTAGAGAAAAAAAATCATACTACAGTTCCATATTATTTAAACTTTTTACAAGTACTAGAGTGGAAATATAGTGAGGAGAATATGTGGTGTATTTTTTTAACTGCTATAAATAATCTGATTAAAGACGTGAATAAAAACACTCAAACTAAGAAAATGCCATAAAATAAAATTCGCAAATGAACTCGTCTGGATACTTTTATGTCAACTGAGACAATTTATTGGTGTATTCTTCCCCAAGTATTTCCACTGTAGGTGTTTTTAGATCGAGCTACAGGCGAAAATTTTACGATTTCCCATAAGAATGATTCAGAACCCCCACTACATAATTACTAAAGCTTACTGCTTTGAACACTTGAACAAAAATTTACCTTTTTACGATTTCCCATGTTAATTTTTCATAACAATGATTCAGAAGCCCCATTACATAATTACCAAAGCTGTTACTGTCCTACAGTTAACAAAGTGTATACCAAATTTAAACAATCGTCCAAAATTTTTTTAAACAAAAATTGTAAAAAAATTCCGAATTATTTAAACTTTTTACAAGTGCCTTGTGCATAAGTAAGCTCGTAGTGTTTCCAAATTTTGATCATTTTTGTGAAAGTAAGCTAAGTTTAAATTTTTTCTAGTTTTATGAGCAAAGAGTAGCCCAGCCCACCCACCCCTTCATCATTCCAGTGACTACTCTTAATATTGTTCAGTTCTATCTTTATTTTCTTAAAAGATGTCATTTATCAAAATCAGTATTATCTTATCAAGAACTACCTCGCCACCTTTTATTTTTGTAACGAGTATGTGATTTATCAAAATTAGTTATACAGTAACAAGTACTAGCCCCGCCCACCCACCCTCTCTTTTCTTAGAGGCTATCTCATTTGCCAAAATCAGTTTTATCTTAGCTAGGACTTGCTAAGATAAGACTGATTTTGGCAAATGAGGTACCCTCTAAGAAACGAGAGGGTGGGTGGGCGGGGCTAGTTCTTGTTAAGATAAGACTGATTTTGGCAAATGATATATACCCCGAAGAAAAGTGAGGGTGGGTGGGCGGGGCTAATAGCTTCTAAGATAAAACTGATTTTGGCAAATCACATACCCTCTAAGAAAACAGAGGGTGGGTGGGCGGGGCTAGTATCTGCTAAGACAAAACTGATTTTGGCAAATCACATACCCTCTAAGAAAATAGAGGGTGGGTGGTAGGCGGGGCGAGTATGACTTAAATAACGTATTCTAAAAAATTTGTTTAAATTATTATAAGAAAAGACACTACAGGCTCCAAAGCCAAATTCTTTCCAAATATAAATAGCTAGAACCTCAAGATTGTTTTAAATTTTTCAAAAAAAACGGAGTCCCAAAATTGACTCAAAAACAGGTCAGCTCAGAATTTTCTAAAAATAGAATACCCAAATCTCACAAAATTCTTTTAAACAATTTACAAAAAAAAAATCTCTTCGTTAAAAATAAAACATTGAAAGTTTAAAATGTGAGAAGGAATTTTTTTTACTATTTTTCTCAGACGCACCAGTTGATTTTTAAGAGCGTAGCGGAGAGTTAATCCGGGATTTATTCGTGTAAACTTCTCAAAATATAGTCACTCTAGTTTTTTTTAGATCGAGCTGCAGGCAAAATTTACTATCCAGTACAACGATTCCTTCTTGAAAAAAAAAAAAAAATATCGGAAACTGACAATTGAATATATTCAGTTTTTGAGAAAAAATATTGGAGGAATTTAGAATCCTTTCTTTTTTTAATTACCAGACGTTTTCAATCTTCAAAGGAAATAATTTTCTTCATTTCAAAATCTTGTGAGTTCCTATTGTTTTTTCGTATTAAGTTTGTGTTTTAATTATTACGGTGGTTTATTGTTGAACACTGTCTGACTTTCTGAGTTTCTTGCATGTGTGCGGGTTGTCGTATTGCTGTTGAGACCGAGCCGTAGGCGAGGTTTACCATCATGTAGTCACAAAAATAAAAAAAAAATGAAAATAATAAAAATACTTTGATTTTTACTTCCCGAGGGAGTATAGTAATCGAGCCCATCGCACAAATGGCCACTTTTATATTTTCTCGATGTTTCGTGACCCCTAGAGTACGAAAAAAGTAGTTTTCTGTTTCCGTCTGTCTGTCGGTATTTCTGTGTGTCTGTCTGATGTCTGTATCCAGGAGGTACGTAATCTCCGAAATTACTGGACCGTTTGTTGTCAAATTTTGTATGCATATTAGAAATGTCATGTAGATGGTTAAATTCCAACCAAAATTTTGCTAATCATCCCCACCAACAATTTGATGACGTCATATCAAAAAATTCTATGTTTAATTTCATTTAACTGTTTTTTATTAGAATGTGAACCCTTCTCGGAGGTCCCTAGCTATCTTTTCTAAAAATATAAAACTTTCTCGGGGGTTACAAAAGATTTTTTTAATAATGTGAAACCTTCTTGGGGGGTCCCAATTTTCTATTTCAAAAATGTAAAACCTTCTCAGGAGCCCCAAATATCTTTTTTTTTATGTGAAACCTTCTCGGGGGCCCCAAACGTATTTTTTTAAGAATGTGAAACTTTCTCGGGGCTCCCAATTATCTTTTTTAAAAATGTAAAACCTTCTCGGGGGTCCCAATTGTCTTTTTGAAAAATGTAAAACCTTCTCGGGGGTCCCAATTGTCTTTTTGAAAAATGTAAAACCTTTTCGGGGACCCCAAACGTATTTTTTTAAGAATATGAAACCTTCTCGAGGGTCCCAACTGTTTTTTTTTTTAATGTAAAACCTCCGGGGCCCCAAATCTCTTTTTTTTTAATGTGAAACCTTCTCGGGGATTCCAATTGTCTTTTTTAAGAATGTGAAACCTTCTCGGGGCTCCCAATTATCTTTTTTAAAAATGTGAAACCTTCTCGGGGGCCCCAAACGTATTTTTTAAACAATGTAAAACCTTCTCGGGGGCACCAAACATATTTTTTAAACAATGTGAAACCTTGTCGGGGCTCCGAATTATTTTTTTTTTAATGTAAAACCTTCTCGGGCACCCCGAACGTATTTTTTAAACAATGTAAAACCTTCTCGGGGGCCCCAAACGTATTTTTTAAACAATGTAAAACCTTCTCAGGGGCACAAAACAATTTTTTTAACAAATGTGAAACCATGTCTGGGCTCCCAATTATCTTTTTTTAAAATGTAAAACCTTCTCGGGGGTCCCAAATCTCCTTCTTTTAATGTGAAACCTTCTCGGGGATCCCAACAGTTTTTTTTTTAATGTAAAACCTTCTCGGGGGCCCCAAACGTATTTTTTAAACAATGTGAAACCTTGTCGGGGCTCCGAATTATTTTTTTTTTTTTAATGTAAAACCTTCTCGGGCACCCCGAACGTATTTTTTAAACAATGTAAAACCTTCTCGGGGGCCCCAAACGTATTTTTTAATCAATGTAGAACCTTCTCAGGGGCACCAAACATATTTTTTAACCAATGTGAAACCATGTCGGGGCTCCCAGTTATCATTTTTTAAAATGTAAAACCTTCTCGGGGGTCCTAAATCTCCTTCTTTTAATGTGAAACCTTCTCGAGGATCCCAACAGTCTTTTTTAAAAATGTAAAACCTTCTCGGGGGCCCCAAACGTATTTTTTAAACAATGTGAAACCTTGTCGGGGCTCCGAATTATTTTTTTTTTTTAATGTAAAACCTTCTCGGGCACCCCGAACGTATTTTTTAAACAATGTAAAACCTTCTCGGGGGCCCCAAACGTATTTTTTAATCAATGTAGAACCTTCTCAGGGGCACCAAACAATTTTTTTAACCAATGTGAAACCATGTCGGGGCTCCCAATTATCTTTCTTTAAAATGTAAAACCTTCTCGGGGGTCCCAAATCTCTTTCTTTTAATGTGAAACCTTCTTAGGGATCCCAACAGTCTTTTTTAAAAATGTAAAACCTTCTCAGGGGCACCAAACATATTTTTTAAACAATGTGAAACCTTGTCGGGGCTCCCAATTATCTTTTTTTTAAATGTAAAACCTTCTCGGGGGTCCCTAATATCTTTTTTTTTTAATGTGAAACCTTCTCGAGGATCCCAACTGTTTTTTTTTAATGTAAAACCTCCAGGGCCCCAAATCTCTTTTTTTTAATGTGAAACCTTCTTGGGGGCCTCAACGATATTTTTTTAAGAATGTGAAACCTTCTCGGGGCTCCCAATTATCTTTTTTAAAAATATAAAACCTTCTCGGGGGCCCCAAACGTATTTTTTAAACAATGTAAAACCTTCTCGGGGGGCCCTAATATCTCTTTTTTAGAATGTGAAACCTTCTTGAGGATCCCAACTGTGTTTTTTAAAAATGTAAAACCTCTGGGACCCCAAATGTATTTTTTTAACAATGTGAAAGCTTCTCAGGGGTCCCAATTGTCTTTTTTAAAAATGTAAAACCTTCTCGGGTACCCCAAATCTATTTTTTTTTATGTGAAAACTTCTAGAGGGTCCCAATTATCTTAAAAATGTAAAACCTTCTCGTATTTTTTTTTAATGTGAAACCTTCTTAGGGGTCCCAAATGTCTTTTTTCAAGAATTACGAAAATTTTATTATTTTTCACAGAACCAGTATTTGTTGGACTGTACTCCAGAAAAACTTTCGACCAATTTTTTTCTATTTTACTCGCGTTGATTGTATTGGACCATTCAGAAACGTACCCATAAATAATTCCCACTCTCATTATTTTATAAAAAAAAAAATAACTATTTTACCTCTCGCTATTTAATTTATTCCCATTTAGTGCATTCTGTCTGCTTTAAATCTGTGTGGCGCAATTCTAATTAACACCACTCGATCTGTTCAAATCCACTGTCTAAAATATTCACTAAACTCGTTAAAAATTAAACACAGAACAGTCAGATGTTAAACCAGTTTGAATAATAAATGATGAAGTAACCGACCCTGTGCTTTTCTACAGATTGTGTAACTTGGATTAATGTTGTACGATCAAATTAATTAAAATTATTAATAATTACTGACGAATAAAGCCGGTTTTAAATCGATGTGTTGTATGTCAGTGGCTCAGCCCATTTTTAATTTTTTCATGGTTAAAAACCCTGTTGTAAAAGTTGTAAAAACAAAAGTGTCACTAATTTAATATTAACCGCATTAGTTTTTATTTATATGTAGTGTCCTATATTCAAAATTATTCCAGATGTTTACCAGCGTGCATTTGCATTTACAGCGAACGTTTACGCGTAGTTACATACATTTAGCAGTAGAACGTCTTTATTACAGCTTGAATTTATGTAATTATCAAAATAGAGAACACTTTTACGAGTAATCGCAAACTTTCTCCCAACGAAAGAGATTGGAACAAAATTCCAAAACAATTATTAATAAGGTGGTTTGTTTTTTGAACCTTTAACATTTTACACAGACCATTTCAGGAAACGTTCGTAATCTCTAGTCCCGTCGCTGTTATTTCATCACCATTACACATCTACTCCTTCAACCAATTTCCAAAATGACCCAAAATTACAATTATTAATCAAACGAAAAACCCCCCAACACCAATTTCCGACTAAATGAACTATTTACGTTATCCAATAACTAAAATTACCTCCGACCAATTATCCGAAGAAAATAAACGAGCCCGTAATCAGCGAAATAGCTCGCAGTGAAAGTGGAACAAACACCAAGTAACCAAGTCAAATTTCAGGTCGAAACAGGCAATCTTAACTTAACCTTCCCCTTGATGTTCAACCCCGTGACGTGGGACGCCCACGCGTTCCCGGTGTTCTTCGGCGGCACCCAGGTCAGCGAAGACGGCCTCATCATCAGCGTGCCCTCCGTCCAACTGGTCTACTTCGGCAACGCCGACAGCAAAAAATACGACGCTATGTGAGTGACACCTTCGAGCTAAAACCGCGGCGTTTATTAAAATTTTCTTGGTCTAGGGGGTCTGCATGGGAGGACGCGTTCCTGGATACGGTGGGCAAGGCGCAGGACGACGGACTTTTCGAACACATTCGGATCGCGCGGTTTGCGTCCAGGACTCTGGATCACGAGCTGGAGAAGAACACGCGCTCGGTGATTCCGTATTTTACGTCGACGTTTGCGGTGATGGCGATTTTTTCAGTTGGTGAGTTTAACTACGATTTAGTGTTTTTTTTATTTATTTTTTGTTTGTGTGTGTGGTAGTGACGTGCATGATGACGGACTGGGTAAGGTCGAAACCTTGGCTGGGTCTCCTGGGGAACTTGAGTGCCGCAATGGCAACTCTGTGTGCTTTCGGGGTCTGCATCTACGCCGGAATCGACTTCATCGGGATTAATTTAGCAGCGCCCTTCTTAATGATTGGTAAACCAAACCCACGGTGTAGCTTTCCATACTTAAAGCGTTCCTCCAGGTATAGGAATCGACGACACCTTCGTCATGCTGGCAGCTTGGCGGCGCACTTCCATCAAAACCCCAGTCCCGGAGCGCATGGCACAGATGTTAAGCGAAGCCGCCGTCTCCATCACCATCACCTCAGTGACCGATTTCTTCAGTTTTTGGATTGGCATCTTCAGTCCGTTTCCGTCGGTTACCATCTTCTGTATCTACTCTGGCGCCGCTACGGTGTTCCTCTTCGTCTGGCACTTGACCTTTTTCGCCGGGTGTGTGGCCATTTCCGGCTACTGCGAACAGAAGAATCTCCATTCCATAGCATGCGTGAAAGTACAACCTCTATCTAAATCCAGTAAGTCTTCCGAATTCGAACAATTACGCAAGAACGATCTTCGATAAGCGGAGTTTGAGGTAATAGGCGCAGTGCGGAAGCTTTCTTCTTCCGCTGTTGTTACGCAAGACTTGATCGAGTCATTTTTTCGAGAATTCAGTGCGAGGATTTCGACGATGCGGAGAAAGTGGTTTGGGGAAAATTTGTGTTGCAAGATTGGTAGTCACTACAAATGTCACTATTAAATGACAAACAACAAACATGGAAAAATTATTCAGTAGTAAATTTAGTATTAGGTTTATTTTACTCTACATCAGATGGCGCCATCAAACATTAGCAAAGGCAAACACCCTTCACTCTGCTCTTATACGAGGAGTTATCCATAAATCCATAATTAACATTGTTCCGTAAACAGTAATGTGTATAAACATATATGTACAAAATATGAAAATATACTTGACATAAAAAATATGAAGCCAACGCGTTGTAACGTGATACGAAAAAATTGTATTTAAATGAATTTGACGCCTATTTTTATTTGACTATATCTGAAGACTGACAGAAACTTTCCATACTTTCCAAGGGTTTTTAAACTGGTATAATTGTTTAGTTTTACAAGATTTACTAAAATTTTGGAAATATTAACACAAAATGAAAATATATATTCAAAGTAAATAACAGAATGACATAAACTTTCGACGTTAACATTACAAATAATTACAAGACAGAAAAAAACGCATTAAGAACTTAAGAGGCATGTTTGTAATATCGAGTTGTTGAAGGCTGCTTTGCAGTGTGTTTGGTTCTATGAAAAACAATTGCTGTTATCCGACGTTTTGATAGATTTTTGTTTGATTTATAAATACGCTATTGGGATTTTTCAGCTTGTCGATTTCTCGATTTTTCAACTTTAAATGTCTCAATTTTCCAATATTTCAATTTTGGGCTTTTCCGATTCTTCCATTCTTCAAATTTTCTATTTCTCAATTTTTTTATTTTTCGATTTCTCAATCTTTCGATGTTTCAATGATACAATTTCTCAATTTTTGTCCTCTTCAATTTTACGGTTTTTAAATATTTCGATTTTTCAATTTTTCAAATTTTCACGTTTCTAAATTTTCAGTTTGCCGATTTCTAAAGTATTTTTTTTTATTTGTCCATTTCTGGACTTCCTAAAGTTTCGATTTTTCACATCTTCAATTCTTCAATTTTTCTATTTTTTAAGATTACGATTTTTCAATTTTGCTTTTTTAGATTTTCGATTTCTCAATTTTCCAATTTCTCGATTTTTTACTTTTTGGATTTTCAATTTATTGTAAACTTCAGATTTTTCAATTCTGCGACTGTTTAATGCTTCGATTTCTCAATTTTTCAACTTTTGGAGGTTTTAATATTCCATTTTTTAAAATTCTAGGTTTTTCGATATCTCGAGTTTTCAATTCTTCTATATTTCAATTTTTCAATTTTTCGATTTTTTGAATTTTAATTTTCGATTTTCCTGTTTTTCTTTTTTAAAATATTTCGATTATTCAATTTTTTAATTTCTCAATTTATCGAATTCAGATGTTTCGTTGTTTTGATTGTTCAATTTCTCAATTTTTCAATTTTTGACTTTCCTTTTCGGCTTCCGACTCCTCAATTTCTCGATCCTCCGATTTTTCGATTTCTCGAAGTCTCAGTTTTTGAATTTTTCGATGTTTCGATTTTTGGATTTCTCGGTTTTTAGATTTTTTTCTTTGGAGCTTTTCAATTTTTGGATTTTCCAATTTTTCAATGTCCCGATTTTTCAATTTTTCAAATTGAATTGGATTTCTCGATTCTTCAATTTTGCGATATTTTAATTATTCAATGTTTTAAATTTTAGAGTTTTCGATTTCTCGATTTTTTGACTTTTCAGTTCTTCAGTATTTAAATTTTTCAATTTTTCAAATTTTTGCGTTAAATTTTCAATTTTGTGATTTATCAATTAATCTATTTTTGATTTTCCCACTTCTCAAAGTTTCGATTTTTCAGTTATTCAATTCTTCGATTTTTAGATTTTTCGACTTTTGGATGTTTTAATATTCCATTTTTTAAAATTCTAGGTTTTTCGATATCTCGAGTTTTCAATTCTTCTACATTTCAATTTTTCGATTTTTTGAATTTTAATTTTCGATTTTCCTGTTTTTCTTTTTTAAAATATATCGATTATTCAATTTCTCAATTTATCGAATTCAGATGTTTCGTTGTTTTGATTGTTCAATTTCTCGATCCTCCGATTTTCCGATATCTCGAAGTCTCAGTTTTTGAATTTTTCGATGTTTCGATTTTTGGATTTCTCGGTTTTTAGATTTTTTTCTTTGGAGCTATTCAATTTTTGGATTTTCCAATTTTTCAATGTCCCGATTTTTCAATTTTTCTAATTGAATTGGATTACTCGATTCTTCAATTTTACGATATTTTAATTATTCAATGTTTTAAATTTTAGAGTTTTCAATTTCTCGATTTTTTGACTTTTCAGTTCTTCAGTATTTAAATTTTTCAATTTTTAAAATTTTTGCGTAAAATTCTCAATTTTCTGATTTATCAATTAATCTATTTTTGATTTTCCCACTTCTCAAAGTTTCGATTTTTCAGTTATTCAATTCTTCGATTTTTCGATTTTTCGACTTTTGGATGTTTTAATATTCCATTTTCTAAAATTCTAGGTTTTTCGATATCTCGAGTTTTCAATTCTTCTATATTTCAATTTTTCAATTTTTCGATTTTTTGAATTTTAATTTTCGATTTTCCTGTTTTTCTTTTTTAAAATATTTCGATTATTCAATTTTTTAATTTCTCAATTTATCGAATTCAGATGTTTCGTTGTTTTGATTGTTCAATTTCTCAATTTTTCAATTTTTAACTTTCCTTTTCGGCTTCCGACTCCTCAATTTCTCGATCCTCCGATTTTTCGATTTCTGGAAGTCTCAGTTTTTGAATTTTTCGATGTTTCGATTTTTGGATTTCTCGGTTTTTAGATTCTTTTCTTTGGAGCTTTTCAATTTTTGGATTTTCCAATTTTTCAATGTCCCGATTTTTCAATTTTTCAAATTGAATTGGATTTCTCGATTCTTCAATTTTGCGATATTTTAATTATTCAATGTTTTAAATTTTAGAGTTTTCGATTTCTCGATTTTTTGACTTTTCAGTTCTTCAGTATTTAAATTTTTCAATTTTTCAAATTTTTGCGTTAAATTTTCAATTTTCTGATTTATCAATTAATCTATTTTTGATTTTCCCGCTTCTCAAAGTTTCGATTTTTCAGTTCTTCAATTCTTCGATTTTTCGACTTCGCTTTATTGGTTTTTCGATTTCTCAATTTTTGGATATTTCTTTCAGTTTTGATATTTTTCAATACTTCGATTCTTTGATTTTTCGACTTCTAGATTTTTCTATTTTTTATTTTTGGATTTTCAGTTTTTTGTTTTTTATACTATATATTTTTCAATGTTTCGATTGTTTTATATTTCAATTTCTCAATTTTTCAAATTTTCCATATTTTAATTTTTAAATTTCTAGATTTTTCGGTTTCTCGAGTTTCCAGTTCTATATTTTAATTCTTCAAATTTCCGAATTTTTGAATTTTTTGAGATTTCAATTTATTGAGATTCGGATGTTTCGATGTTTTGATTATTCAATCTCTCGCTTTATCAATTTTTCCATATTTAAGTTTTCAATTTTTCGATTTTGGCCTATTTCGGTTTCTCAATTTTTTGATTTTTCGACTTCTTGATTTTTCGACTCCTCGATTTTTTTGTCTTTTGATTTTTCGATTTCTCGATCTCTCAATTTTTGAATTTTACAATGTTTCGATTTTTCGATTTGTTGGTTTTTCGATTTTTGCTTTTCGCTTTCTCGATTTTCCGATGTTTCGATTTTTGATTTATCCGATTTTTCAATTTTCCAATTTTTTAAATTTTCCCCTTCTCGATTCGTTGATTTTTCAGGTTTTCGATTTTTAAATTTTAGATTTTTGAATTTTTATTTTTTTGAATTTTTGATGTTTGGATTTCTCCATTTTTCAGTTTTAGGATATTTTAACTTTTCAATGTTTTAAATTTTAGATTTTTCGATTTTTTAGTTCTTCAATATTTTTTTAAAAATTTTCAAAATTGCAGAACACCGCTGTTGGATGTATAGAGTCTTCTGCTCCGGTGGTGTGGACCCGGACGACATGGACAACCCCATAGACAACCAGGAGCACGGAATGATGGTGTTCTTCCGCGACTACTTCGCCCCGTTCCTCAACAACGGTTTAGTCAAAGTCGTTGTGATCTTAGTCTTCGGGCTCTACCTCTTAGGTGCTGGTTACGGCGTAACGCAAATCGAAGAAGGTCTCGAACGGAGAAAAGTGGCCAAAAATGACTCCTACGCCATCGAGTTCTTCGACCGAGAAGACGACTACTACCGAGAGTTTCCGTATCGGATCCAGGTGGTGATCGCGGGAGAGTACGAATACTGGAACCCCGAAATCCAACGACAAGTAGAAAACTTGACCCAAACCTTCGAAAACACGTCCTATGTTTCGAACACTCTGTACACGGAGTCGTGGTTGAGGAGTTTCATCCAGTACGCCGAAAGAAACGAAGACTTTTTAAATATCTCGATTAAAACTAAAGAAGGGTTCATGCAAGCGCTCAAAGAGGTAAGGTACTTGGAGGTAGTACCACCGGTAATAATGTTGTTGCAGTTCTGGCTAGCCCCCACCAGTCCTTTTTCGCTGGACGTGAAGTTCAACGAAGCTGGAGATTCCATAGTCGGGATGAGATTCCTCATCCAAGCTGTTAATATTTCAGGTACCGAACACGAAAAGGAAATGGTGAGGGCGTTACGCAAGATTTGTAAAGAGTCGCCGCTGAATGTTAGCGTTTTCCACCCATATTTTGTTTTCTTTGACCAAGTAAGTACTGTTTTGGTTGCCATAAGTTACTCACGAGTGTCTATGTTGTAGTTCGAACTGGTACGACCTCTCTCCATCCAGAACATGGTCATCGGAGCAGGAATCATGATGTTGGTGTCGTTTATTTTTATCCCGAATATTCTATGTTCTTTGTGGGTCGCCTTCAGTATTCTTTCTATAGAAGCCGGGGTTGTTGGATACATGGCTTTGTGGCACGTCAACCTTGACTCTATCTCTATGATCAACTTGATCATGTGTATAGGGTTCAGTGTGGACTTCACCGCTCATATCTGTTACGCGTACATGTCTTCAAGTGCGAAAACTCCAGACGAAAGAGTCAAGGAATGCCTCTATGCTCTCGGTTTACCCATTTTCCAAGGGTCTGTTAGTACCATTCTAGGAATGATCGCGCTACTACTCGCCAACAACTACATCTTCGCTGTGTTCTTCAAAATGGTGTTCCTAGTGGTGTTCTGTGGCGCCATGCACGGGTTGTTCCTTCTCCCGGTACTCCTGTCGCTCTTTGGTCCCGGATCCTGCTCTTCCAGACGCAACGACGACGAAATTAAAATGTCCAACGTCGAGAAAGCTTTACCTCACCCTTATTGTATCCCGCACCCCCAATTCACCCTCAATGGTAGCAACCTAGGCAACAACCTCAAGTGTCAAAAACTCGACACTCTCGAAAAATACACCAAGAAACCCCAATACAAAACCTACGACCTCGACAAAGACCTGGGTTTAGGTACTTCCGAAGAAAATTCCAGCGAATCGTCGAGTCACTCCAATAAAAAACCGCCCGCTGAAGAAGAAATCATGGAACGGAGATACCGAGAAGCTTGGCGGAGGAACTCGGACACCGTGAGCCAGTTTCACACGTCGCAGGTGCTGGATATCTACGGGAATGAGTCGGAACGGGAGTACTACAGACGACTGGAGGAAAATCGGAGGCGGTTCCAGGAGAACAATCCCGAGGCGAGGCCGAGGTACAACGACCAGAGGCAGCGCAGGAGATACTCGCCGCCCGAGCAGCGGTACTACAGGAATCAGGGGTTGGCGAGGTCGAGTTCGTACCACAATATCGTTCATCCACGATACGTCCAGGAGCTGAGATTCCCGTGACGTTAGTTCCATTTGACTACTTTGTTTAGTGTGATAAGTTCCGCATGAACTCTCCGACGATGTGCTCAATGCTAGGTTAAGTTGTACAGATACGATTTTGTATAAATTATTTTTGCATTGCTACGAAAAAAATAATAAAAGTATTTAAGATGTGGGGGTGTTTGGTTGGGGTACAATCACGACAAAAACTACGTGTTTGGGGATTTTTATTAAGTAGGGGCTACCTCCTCTGGATAATTTTTCATGGGAGAAAATAAATCTGAGGATTTGCTTCGTAGAGACATTTAGATATTTCGTAAGCCGCCACACATTTATCGGTTAGAGTTTTGGCTACAAAGTAAGTTAAGAATTAAAGAAATTTTGATTAATTTAATTACCCGAATCTTTGCACTGTTCTATGGTAACCAGAGTTCCGTCCCGGATTGTCACTGGTAGTTTGGTTTTGGCGGCATTCATTGCCACATCATAATCCAAATTGTTCTCTTTTGTGATCTACAAAAACGTCGCCACTAAAAATTTACAACGTGTCGTTCTTACCAATTTTTGTGAAGTCAAAACGCAATGCATGTAGCACTAAAAATTAATATTTTTTTAGAAATAATACTAAATAAAGTATGCCAAGGTTTACCATTGCGGTGTGGTCAATATTCCAGTCACCTTGGTGCATTTTATCGATATCCTCTTGAAAATCACCGATTACTTAATAATAAAAAAAAATAAATTCAGAGATTTTACCATCCGTCGCTTTGTTCTTAGGCTGACACACGTTTCTTACGAGTTTACCAGCTGCTTTCACTTGGGCGTCGCTCATCTATAATACAAAAATTATTTTAGAATTTAACTTAAGTAAGTATACAAAGACTCACTGGAGCATATGCACCTGTACTCATCACCACTAAAACTACAGCAATTTTTAATAAATCGATGTGGTCCATTTTCGTGCTTTACCCTCGAACGTTGTCGACTTTGTGACTTTTAAGGTTGATTTAATCAAAAAATATACCTACATATTGGAAAAAAGTCCGTAATTAAAAGGCGAATAACACGGTATTAAAGCATCGCTTGTAATTAACACAATAAGGACGGATTTAAGTAATGTAATAAACGGAAATCAGCTGGATTTTTTCCACGAAATGATTGTTTTCGTGTAATTGCCGCTTGATAGAATCTCCCAAATACGTATTTGCCTGTACGTAATTAGGTACTTTGTTGTAGTGGGCGGGTTGCGGTTGTTAAAAATGTCGCTGAGGATTTAAACAAAAAAAAAATTGCGTCTGAAGTACAGTCCGACTTTTTTAAACTTAGCCCCGCCCACCCACCCGTTCTCTCATTTTGTTATTCAGAAATAAGAAATAAATTTTGTAGCAAGTAAGTATAACAAAAAAATTACGATTCACATAGCTGTAAAACAAAAATCACAAAGACTCAGATCGGGTGAACGCGGAGGCCAAGCTATGGGTAGTTTCCACCGACCCACTGGTTTACAGTTGCACCTCATTGTGTCGAGTTTACATGATTTTTAACTATTTCTGTGTAAACCCTGACGGCAAAGTCGTTTTTTGAATCAAAATAGCAATAAAACGATTTATTAACGTGGAGCTTGAGTGAATGGGAGGAGCATCAGTTATATTGCTTTTTAATTTATAAGTCATTAATTCTCACGTTTGATGTGTTTATTTAAGTTAATAGTTTCTAGATACTTTGTTTACGATTTATCATTTTTTTACCATATTAAGAAGTCACTAGAAATAAGAGGTGGGCGGTGGGCGGGGCTATTGCTTATATATAAGACTGTAGCCCCACCCACCCACCCATTTTCCGTTGTGATGACCCTTTTTATTGGCTCTGAGATGGAAGTTGGATTTAAATTGACAAATAATAGAATCTAGATAGAACGATTATTTTTTAATGCAATTTTGACATTTATTCGAAAAACGACCTTGCCGTCAACTGTTACCTAGAACTATAAAAAAATATATACATATATATAATGTAGTACAATTTCAAACGGCGCCTTTGTCTCCGAGCCAATGAAACAATTTATTAAGGTGGAGCTTGAGTGAATGGGAGGAGCATCAGTAATATTGGAGCGGAGTTAAGTTTAGGTTTTTTGCGGTGTTAGTACCTGCTAAGGTAAAACTGATTTTGGCAAATGACATACCCTCGAAGTAAAGAGAGGGTGGGTGGGCGGGGCTAGTACCTGCTAAGATAAACCTGATTTTGGCAAATCACATACTTCCGAAGAAAAGATAGGGTGGGTGGGCGGGGCTAAACTTGCTAAGTAGAACTGAACAATACATATTGAGAGTAGTTACTGGAACGGAGAAGGAGTGGGTGGGCGGAGCTACTACTTGCTCATAAAACTACAAAATCTTAATTTTTCCCACCTACCATTTCACTGACTTATTTTATTTAGTGTAAAATGGAAATTGAAAAATAACAGTATTGTATTTCCAAAATTTTCTGGGAAAATGGAGTGAGCCGTTTCTGAATTTATCAAGTAAATAAATTGACACTGTGATAACCCAAACATCCCGCTTTAAATTGACTTGTGAAAAAACTTGAAAGTCCGCGAAAAATTAAAAAATTCAAAATTTGGCCTTGGCTGTGATCGTCTAACGAAAATGGAACCCTACGTTGTGTTTTTGAAAAATGGCGGGATGCATTCAGATGCAAGTGGTGGACCCCAAGATTGAAAAAGTATCGTTAAATAAAACACCAAATTTATAGAGGACACAAAATTATTTATTCTTCTACTGACAAAAAAAAGAAAAAAAACTGTGACTAAGTTGTGCCCACTGCAGACACCGTTTAATGCTCAGCTACAAAAAAAAAAAACTTTGAATGACTTGGAGTGAAATCAAATTACACGTTCTGAATAATTGCAGACATTTGAATATCACAAATTTAATAAAAACCAAGCAAAATCTGAATTAAAGTAACTGTGTGTGGCGGCAAACTAAATCAATTTCATTCTAGAGCACAACAAAAGTACCCATAGGGGGCGTTGTAGCACGAGCGGAGTTTGGGGCTCCTGGTCGTGGCTGTTCTCCTACCCACGACGGTGTTTCTACCTATCGCAAACACTGCCGCCCAGCACGGTCGTAAATTCTCGGTTGGGTCTCGACTATTACCATCCTTTGTGCAGATGGCGCGATAAATCCCGCCAGCTCGACTAGGAACCGCGCACTCCGCTTCCATCACGTGTTTCTGTGTTATTTAACCTCACTTAAATGTTCAATTTCTGATGACTCTGATATTAACGACAACTGAACAAGTGTTAAAGTTTCAAAAAGAGCAATAAACAACAATAAAAATATTTCGTGAGGTATAAATATGGATCTTGCAATTAAGCCCCGTCCCGCGATCTGACATCCAATGAAAAATTCATCACAATTGAGAATTGAGATCGGGGCGGGTACGGATGGGGCCTAATCTTTGGCTTTATTTTTTCTTAATACACATGGTATTTTTTGAAGAACACGATGCTCAAAAACATGTCTTTAATTTTTCGTAGAGAAACAAGGATTTTGCAGTTAAGCTCCGCCCTCTTGGTTTACGACGAATAAAAAAAATCATCAGAATTGAGACAGGGTGGGTGGGCGGGGCTAAATTTTGCCTTGTTTTCTTAATATGTGTAGACTTATTTTGAACAAGAAACTTAAAACATGTCTAAAATGGTAAATTTGTGTAATAATCAACTTCAATACGGCAAAAGTTGAACATCAAAGTCTGTTCATTCGATAGACCAGTGGTGGGTTTGTCACCCCCACCCTGCTCAGGTCTCACTTGTAATTTTAAGATAGAACGTAATAAACCATCGAAGGGACAACAAGCCTATTACTCATCCCTTCAAACGTTCCAACATTTTTGGTCCAATCGAGCCTGATGGAACCATCCATCTGAATCAGCAAAAACAAATAAAACCCGATCAAATGATCCAGGCGTTCTTATAAGACCCGATCAAATGATCCAGGCGTTTTTATTCAAATCACATCTTCACGGCGTCGACACATTCGTAGGGTGTGTGTAAAAGTGAAGGTGTAAGCGATCCAGACGATCCAAGAAAACATCCACCCGATTCACGTGTACGGAGTGCGTCGGGAAGAAAACCAGGCGAGCCAAGAAGAAATCCAGTCGACTCTCACTCCCGGAATTTCCCAAGAAGAAATCCAATCGACTCTCACTCCCGGAATTCGTCAGGAAGAAATCCACGCAACGGTGACGCAAAAAGAATCCATCCGATTTCCACGTCCGGAGTTCGTCGGGAAGAAAAGCAGCTGCCGATCCCGAGCCCCGAGCCATCTCAGCGTCCACATCGTGTCCGAGACGTTCAGGTCAGATCCTTCCTTTTTTTAATTACCTTAAAGCGCAGTTTAAGCAAGCCTCAATTTTTGTTAAATATTCGATTTTGTTGCATACTAGGTTTATATTTTTTGTATTTATTATTTTTACAAAATGGCTTTGGATGAGTTAAAAACACAGCGAAAGGTCATTAAATATAGCATTACTCGACATCAAACTGCGGTAAATGCCTTTAAAGAAGGAAGTAATGTTGTAACTTTAGAGACTAGACTTTCAGACCTGTCGGAATTATTTAAAAAATACAATGCAATTCAAAGCGATATTGAATCGCTTCAGTTTAAGGAATTATCGGATAGAGATGATTTTGATGAGGCAGCCTGGGACGCGGGAAACGATAAAGAGCGCACCGGGGTAGAAAATCAGTATTATGAGGTAGTGGCGAAAATTAAGACGTTTTTGTTGAAAACTGATACGTGTACGGGCCCTGGTGGGTCAACTACAGTAATAAATATTAATAAATCTGCATCCGATTCTAATGAAAACGTGACAAATTTAAAACCGTTGCCTTTACCAGTCTTTTCAGGAAAACTTAGCGAATGGTATAACTTCTATGATTCGTTTAAATCATTAGTGCATGACGATAAAACTATTTCGGACATTCGCAAATTTCATTATTTGCGCGGTTGTCTTAAAGATGAAGCGCTCAGAGCTATTGAATCACTCACAATTTCCAATGATAATTATGTAACTGCACTAGAACTACTCATTAAACGCTTCGAAAACAAGCGGCTAATCGTAAACGAGCACGTTTTAAATATCTTAAATATTACACCGTTAATGAAATCATCTCATGTAGAATTGCGCCAACTTTTAGATGCGGTAAACAATAACATTGCAGCGCTCAAGGTTTTAGAATTACCGGTGGATCAGTGGGACGCCCTTTTGATACCTATTATAACTGAAAAATTAGACTATGCCACCAAACGGGAATGGCAAACAGTTCTAAACAAGGAGGTTCCAAAATACGTGGATTTTAACGAATTTTTAGAAAAACGATATCAAATTCTTGAAGCATTAACCACCATCAAACCGCAAATTTCAAATAACTCAAAACCAACAAATACATTCAAGAATAACAACAATAGTAATAATAATAAGTATGGCAATAACAGATCATTCTCTAATCACCTAGTGTACAAGCCCACTTGTAGTTTTTGTAAAAAAGGCCACAGTATTTATCAGTGTGACGATTTTTTGAAGCGGACTGTAGTTGAAAGACTTAACGAAATATCAAAATTACAAATGTGTGAAAATTGTTTGCGCACCAATCATAAGGCCGAACAGTGTAAATCAAAGAGTTTATGCAAAATCTGTCGTGAAAAACATCACACTTTGTTGCATATTAATGAATTTAATCCAACTCAAACATCTTTGTACACTGTAGGGCCCAGTCAAGTCCTATTAAGCACTGTAACAGTGCTAATCGCGGACAGACACGGTAATTTTCACAAATGCAGAGGCCTACTTGATCAAGGATCACAGGCAAATATTTTAACATCGAAAATGTGTAAAAAACTTGGCTTGTTTACAACAAAGGTAGCTACATCATTAACAGGTATTAATTCAAGGGCTATCTCCATAAACGAGGGTGTCAAGGTGACAATAAAATCCCTTGCATCAGATTTCGCCTCTAATATAAATTGTCTAATCGTGCCGAAAATCACAGAGCCGACTCCATCTTTTTCATTTCCTAAACAATTAATTAAAGTGCCCACAAATGTAACACCTTCTGATCAGGATTTTAATTCTCCTAAGGATATTGATTTGTTAATAGGAGCGGGATTGTATTGGGATTTGTTAATCGGTGCCGCATTTCAGTTAGAAGTTAATCAACCATTTTGGCAAAACACAAAATTGGGCTTTGTAGTAGGGGGCATTTTATGATATCCGTAACATCCGTCAATAATAATGCGTGTAATTTATTATCGAGCAAATTAAAGGAAGGGGACTTAGAATTGTGTTTAGAGAGTTTATGGCTAGACGAAGAAATTGAAGGCGGTACGACTTTGTCCGGAGATCATTTACGATGCGAAACTCATTTCGGCGAAAACTACGCGAGAAGTTCTCACGGTCAGTTCATTGTAAAATTTCCCTTTATGGAAAATACCCAACTCGGTAATTCCTACGACATGGCATTAAACAGATATTTGGGTCTGGAACGGAAGTTGGGCAAAAATCCCTCACTAAAGGAGGCTTATGTCGGTTTCATGAACGAGTACCTGAATCTTGGCCACATGGAACCGGCAGCAATAAAACATCTTGAAGGAGACAATATTTACTACCTTCCACACCATGCCGTTTTTAAAAACACAATTAGTGGCCCTAAAATTAGAGTTGTTTTTGATGCGTCGGCACCGACATCAAATGGTCTTAGTTTAAATGACATTTCGTTAACGGGTCCAACTTTACAGCAAGATCTTTTTTCTATACTATGTAGATTCAGAACATATAAATATGTAGTTTCAGCTGATATAACTAAAATGTACAGAATGATTTTAATGCACGAAAATGACCGCGATTTCCAAAGAATCCTCTGGCGGAATGAAGTTTCGGAACCTGTACAAATCTATCGATTAAATACAGTGACATATGGAACCACATGCGCACCATTTTTGGCAGTCAGGTGTTTATTTCAATTAGCGCTCGAAGCTGAAAACGATTTCCCGTTAGCTAGTAACATAATAAAACGCGATTTTTATATGGATGATCTATTATCAGGTAGCAATTCAAAGGAGGAAGCACTCCTCATCAAAGGTCAGGTTACGAAAATTCTAAAAAAAGGTGGTTTTAATCTTTGTAAATGGACGTCAAATTTGGACGAACTTTCAGCAGAAGGAGATCATTCAACTGCAATAAATCTAAACAAAGGGGATTATAAGATTTTAGGGTTTCATTGGAACTGTACAGATGATCAACTAAAATATAATGTTAATATTCAACAAATTAGCGAACCATTTTTCCGAAAAAGGAACAAGTTTTCACTTTATACCAGCCAGATCACCACATTTTGGGGGCCTCTGGGAGAGAGCCGTGCGTAGTGTAAAACATCATTTGTTTCGAGTAGTAGGGGATGCCTCACTAACCTACGAAGAATTTTATACCTTTTTAGTTTGCATTGAGGCCTGTTTAAATTCACGACCCCTCACCCCTCTATCTCCTGACCCTAATGACCTGAACGCTCTTACACCAGGACACTTGCTTATAGGGGCTCCGTTGACGAACACCGCAGAAGAAGACGTTACACCACTACCCATCAATCGTCTCTCACGATGGCAGCGGGTGCAGCAGCTCCACCAACAGTTTTGGAAGAGGTGGACCCAGGAGTATCTGTCCGAACTACAAAGGCGCCCTAAAGGTCAACAATCCTCCACATCCCAAGTCGCTGTCGGTTCCTTGGTGGTAATCATCGAGGACAATTTGCCACCATTGAAATGGAAACTGGGACGAGTGCTCCAACTTCATCCGGGGCTAGATGGTGTAGTGAGGGTGGTTACAGTGAAAACATCGACTGGGGTTTACAAACGAACCATAAAAAAGGTGTGCTTACTTCCAGCAGACGCAGACTAATAAGTGAAGGACCTTTAACATTTCTGATATTTGTAATTTTTATTTATTTATGTCTCAAATTTTGAAGCCTATCCTTCAAGGGGGGCGGCATGTTCATTCGATAGACCAGTGGTGGGTTTGTCACCCCCACCCTGCTCAGGTCTCACTTGTAATTTTAAGATAGAACGTAATAAACCATCGAAGGGACAACAAGCCTATTACTCATCCCTTCAAACGTTCCAACAAAGTCACTATCAACGGCAATTTGGCAACGGAGTTTATAAATGACAATTTTCAGCTCTAAAAGCAACGTCAAACAAAATGTATACAAATATGGATCTTAAAATTAAGCCCCGCCCCTCAGCTTACGACGAATAAAAAAATTGGTCTAAAGAGTTTAGACAGTACTTCCCTCGCTGTCGGAAACGTGACGACTGCATGCCTATTATGTTTTTTTTCGCAATGGATTTCAAAGAATTCGGTTTTATAGTTCCTGAGTAAATCAATAAAATTAATTTACGCATTCATTAATTTTTTTGAGTCACCCTGTATATGCAAATCCTAAAAATATGAATGGAGTGATAAATTACAAGTACAGACTCATCATATTTTGTACAGTTTAGATAGGATTTATTGGGCAAACTTTTGAGCTGACGTCATCAATTTTTTGGAGGGGATAAGCAAATGTATTTTGACTAAACACTTATTATGCTCTTTATAACCTTAAAACATCTTCAAGATTTCAAAGCATTCGGTTTTGTAGTTCCTGAGTAAATCAGTAAAATAAATTTACGCTTTCATTAATTTTTTTGAATCACCCTGTATTTGCAAATCCAAACAATATGAATGGAGTGATAAATTACAAGTACAGACTCATCATATTTTTACAGTTTAGATAGGATTTATTCGGCAAACTTTCGAGCTGACGTCATCAATTTTTTGGAGGGGATAAGCAAATATATTTTGACTAAACATTTATTATGCTCTTTATGACCTTAAAACATCTGCAAGATTTCAGAGCATTCGGTTTTGTAGTTCCTGATTAAATCAATAAAATATATTTACGCATTCATTAATTTTTTTGAGTCACCCTGTATATGCAAATCCAAAAAATATGAATGGAGTGATAAATTACAAGTACAGACTCATCATATTTTTACAGTTTAGATAGGATTTATTCGGCAAACTTTCGAGCTGACGTCATCAATTTTTTGGAGGGGATAAGCAAATATATTTTGACTAAACATTTATTATGCTCTTTATAACCTTAAAACATCTGCAAGATTTCAAAGCATTCGGTTTTGTAGTTTCTGAGTAAATCAGTAAAATATATTTACGCATTCATTAATTTTTTTGAGTCACCCTGTATATGCAAATCCAAAAAATATTAATGGAGTGATAGGTCACAAGTACAGACTCATCATATTTTGTACATTTTAGATATGATTTATTCCACAAACTTTTGAGCTGACGTCATCAAGTTTTTGGAGGGGATAAGCAAATATTTTTTGACTAAAGATTTATGATGCTCTTTATAGCCTTAAAACATCTGCAACATTTCAAAGCATTCTGGTTAGCAGATTAAAAATTAAATTTCAAAATGTTGTTTTATAATTTTGATTTTTTTTCCAAAAATCTGGACGTTTCGGGTGAAAAGTCGCTTCAGAGTTGTAAACTACATGTGTAGGACTATGTTATTTTATACAATTGAAAACCCATTTACTATGTACAATTTTGAAGTGACGTCATCGCATTAGTGGTGGGGATGATTAGACAAATTTTGGTTAGCGTTTTACCATCTACATGATATTCTTAATATAAGTACAAAATTTCACAACAATCGGTCGAGTACTTTCGGAGATTATCTGTCTAATAAAAATCCGGGACAACAGACGGACAGACGGACAGACGGACGGACAGACGGAGAGACGGACGGACAGACGGACAGACGGACAGACGGACGGACAGACGGACAGACGGACAGACGGACAGACAGACGGAAATGGGAGACCTATTTCTTCGTCTTCTAGGGGTCATGAAAGATCGAGAAAACGTAAAAGTAGAGAGTCGGCCGATGGACTCGATTACAATACTTCCTTTGCTTACGCTCGGGAAGTAAAAATCATCAGAATTGAGATAGGGCGGGTGGGCGGGGCTTATATTTTGACATTTTTGTCTTAATATACATAGCCGTCTTTTCACAACAAGAAACTTAGAACATTGTTAAAGTGGTATATTTTTATAAGGAAATATGGATTTTAAAATCATGGGGCCGAGCCTAATTGCAAAATCGATATTTTCTTACACAAATTTTCCATTTTAAACATGTTTTAAATTTCATGTTGTGATAAGAAGTCGGCACATATTAAAACAATAAAGCATAATGAAGGCCCGCCCACCCACCCTATCTCAATTGTGATGTTTTTTTTTATTCGTCGTGAACAAAGAGGGCGGAGCTTAACTGCACAATACTTTTCTTTACAAAAAATTACAAACAGAGTATCGTCTTGTTCAAAGAAATGTATGTAAATTAAGAAAAAAAGGCTAAATATTAACCCCGCCCACCCACCCCATCTCAATTGTGATGATTTTTTTTATTCTTAGAAACTTAAAACACATTTAAAATGGTAAATTTTTGTAAGTAACTACGGATTTTCCAATTAAACTGCGCCCCTTTGGCTCACGACGAATAAAAAAATCATCACAATTGAGATAGGGCGGGTGGGTGGGGCTTATATTTTCCCTTTTTTCTCAACATACGTAGTCGTCTTTTCAGAAAAAGAAACTTAAAACATGTTTAAAGTGGTAAATTCTTGTAGACAAATATGGATCTCCCTATCTCAATTCTGAATATAACATGCATGAAAATTTACGTTCAGTTTCAATTATGCATCAAAGAAAATTACTAAAGTTAAAATTGTGAGGTAAAGAAACATTTCATGAGGTGAAAAACTACAAATCTAACAAAATTACGTGAGTTTAATGTTTGCCATACTTTATCAACGATTAAAACAAAGAGTTTACATTATGTTAAATTATGCCACACTTTATCAACGATTCAAACAAAGAATCTACACTACGTTAAATGCTTTGATCCAAGTGATTGATTACTTAAAACAATTAGCTTTGAGAGTTCATATCGTGGATTGTTTATCCCAAACAAAACACATGGATAAATAAACAACACAAAATGCATCAGGCGTTGCGAAAAATAAAATGTCTCGGTGATATAATTTGCAACGTTCCGAGGAAAATGCGTCTCGATGATGTGATAATGATAACGATGACAATAACGATGATAACTGTCTAAGAAGAGAAATCTTTAATCCCTCCTTCAGTCCACGAAATTATATTATGAATTCTGCTGCACCTTTCTACGACCTTTTTCCGCCGTGAGGCAACTTTAGGTTGATTTAACTGTCGTAAATGAACTATTAGCAATCATGTGTGACGAATTAAGGAGCGTTATAATATACCACTTCAGTAGCATCCAGAAACGTTATTCGTAATTAGACAAACAAAATCAAACGAGTCCCAACTAAGTGAATTTCATGAAAACGCCTAGCAAGTATTTATCCAAGCAAATTCCTGATTGTTAAATTGCGTTATAACTAGTTAACGATTAAACTCCTAATATGAACTGTGAATTTACAAACAATGAATCAAATTTACACAACGTGTTAGCGTCGGTCGAAAATTCGCATTTTTCCGATTAGAAAGTCGCAAGAATTAGCTTCCTTCCTTTTATTAACTACCAAACCAACTAAACTTAACCTAGCTAACTCACCACATGGTTACACTCACAACACACACACCAAAAGTAACGCTTTGCTCTCCGACCAACCTTTTAACTAGCCACTACTAAGCAACTTTTTTTATTGAATTTGTTTTTCAAATTGAAATTATTCAAATGTGATTTCGCGCCGCTGTCGATTTTTTTTCAGCGCGAAAGTTTTTATTCAAATTCGGTCATCACAATACATTCATTAATTTTTTTGGGCCACCTGTATAAGCAAATCTAAAAAATATGAATGCAGTGATAAATCACAAATAAAAACTCATTATATTTTGCACATTTCGGGTGTAGAATTAGGAATTTAACTCGTTGCTATGGAAATTTGGTATTTAACACCTTTAAATTTCACAAGTTTTTACAAGATTAATAGGGGCAAAATCAGTTTTATCTTAACAAATACTATGACCACCCACCCGCCCTCTATTTTCTCAGAGGATATGTCATTTGCCGAAATAAGTCTTATCTTAGCAAGTACTATCCCCGCCCACCCACCCTTTACTTTCTTAGAGGGTATGTCATCTACAAAAATCAGTCTTATCTTACTAAGTACTAGCCCCGCCCACCCTCCCCCTATTTATTCAGAGGATATGCCATCTGCCAAAATCAGTCTTATCTTACTAAGTATTAGCCCCGCCCACCCTCCTCCTATTTATTCAGAGGATATGTCATTTGCCAAAATAAGATTTATGTTAGGAAGTACTAGCCCCGCCCACCCGCCCTTTATTTTCTTAGTACTTGCTAAGATAAGTCTTATTTTGCCAAAAAGACATCCTTTGAGAACATAGGGGCGGGTGGGCGGGGATAGTACTTGCTCAGGTAAGACTGATTTTGGCAAACGCCATACCCTCTGAAAGAATAGAGGGCGGGGCTAGCACTTACTAAGATAAGACTTAATAAGTTAAGTAAATTCCTATATTTGATTGATTATTTATTTTTTAACAACTCAGTAATTATTTTTTCTGAGATACTTACCCTGTTTAATAAGCCAATTTAAAAAATATTAATTCATCTCATCATATTTAGCACATTTAAGATAGGATATATTCAGCAATATTTTGAGGTGACGTCATCAATTTTTTAGGGGGGATGAGCAAATACATTTTGATAAAAACTTTCCCATGTTCATGATAACTGTAGAACTACTCCAAGACTTCAAAGCATTCGGTTTTCTAGTTCCTGATTAAATAAATAAATTAGACAGTGATCAACGGTCGAGAAAACATAAAAGTAGAGTCGGCCCACTAGGGAAGTAAAAATGAAGGAGAATGAATAAAACACACCTTTAATAGCATTATTTATTTGACTATCTTATATACATAAAACCAACATCACCTGTAAAACATAAATTACCTATATAATATACTTCAACCACTAGTTCTAGTATCTTCACAATTTTACAACTGCACAATATATACATATGATTTTCTAATCTAATAAAAATTTTGGACATGAATCATATTTATCACAAGTGAGTATTTTTGTTAATATTCAAGGTCGATAATCTCAATTAAGACCAATAATATTCTTTGAAATAAAAATAACTTGCATCAGCTTGCGCAATAATCGTGACGTAATATCATACAAAACAGTGTAGTGCTCGTGCCACCCTAACCCAACTTTACTTAAATATGTACAGCTCTTTCATTTAAGCCATTGTGGGCCACAACAGCTAGCAGATGCCTGGTACTAGAACCGCTCGTGTAGCTATCCCCACTACTTCTAGCACTAGCATGCGACATTGGGGTCCCGGGGAGTCTCTGCGGGGTGCTCTCCACAGAACTAGTAGCACCGGTGCTTTCATACAGCGGTCCCGGAGTGGGGGCGGGTTCCTCGGGGGTATAATAATCAGATTCGTCTCCTCGTTCTTCCCCGTTGCTCCCTACAAAATCAATAACGTCACCCATATTTCTGAACCAACTTACTTACTGTTATAGGTTTTATTTTTGTCAGAGGCGGGGCGCGACGCCACTTCTTCATGGTCGGTGTCGGTGTCGTCAATGGGTTCCACCACGTCCACCATGTTCAAGGCCAAACTACCACCTCTGACGTCACTGTTTTGCAACAATGGCGACAACTTCTCCGCCTCGCTATCCTCGTCTCCATTTTCATCCTTTTCAGTTTTTTCGTTCACGTGCTTGACGGCGTCCCGAGACCGGTGCTTGGGGCGAGGACTCGCTGCCTCCTTCGTCGCGTCCGGGAGAAGGGGGCACTTCGGAGTCTCTTTATCTTCTTCGTTCCGGGTCGTCATTAGCACGCCATACTAGACATAAAAAAAATTGGTCTAAAGAGTTTAGACAGTACTTCCTTCGCTGTCGGAAACTTGACGACTGCATGCCTATTGTGTTTTTTTTGTCTTTACATTTTTGTAGTGGGAATTTAAAAGAAATTGCGATGACGTCATCAACATTTTTGCAAGGACACGTATATCACTTGGGATAGATGTAGTGTAATACTAAGAATACAATTATTATATTCTCAAATTTTCGGGAAAATGAATTGGGTCGTTTTGAATATTGATTTGTAATAATCAATAAAATAACGAAACAATTTACTCACGTATACCTACGTATCAGAGGCAACTGAAAATCGTGTATGTATAAACATTCTTAATTTAAGATGACAGGCGTAACAGCATACGTGAGAGTCAAACATTGGGTTTTATTTTAATTCTTGACGGTGAAATTCACAATTGGTTGATTATAAACATGTCTATTTCACATTCGCGGAACCAAGTGAGCGCATAAAACAAATGCAGGTCTGTAATGTTAAAGTCGATGTAAATAAGCGTGCTACCCTTATGTTTCAACCGAGTTTTTCCTTTAACAAATTTTGTGTCTACCAAATTGGGTTGGTTGAGGTGTAATACTAATAATAAGTGTTGCCTTTAATTTAATCAATAAAATAAATTGACTTCATTAATTTTTTTGAACCACCTCTTAAGAAAATCTAAAAAATATGAATGGAATGATAAATCACAAGTACAAAACTCATCATATTTTTTGCATTTTAGATAGAATTTATTCAGCAAAATTTTGGAGTGACGTCATCAATTTTTTAGGGGGGAAGAGCAAATACATTTTGATAAAAAATTTACCATGCTTATGGTAATTTTAAAACATCTTCAAGATTTCAAAGCATTCGGTTTTGTAGTTCCTGAGTAAATCAGAAAAATAAATTTTGCGCATTCATTATTTTTTTTTGTGTCACCTGTATATGCAAATCCAAAAAATATGAATGGAGTGATATATCACAAGTACAGACGCATCATGTTTTGTACATTTTAGATAGGATTTATTCGGCAAACTTTTGAGCTGACGTCATCAAGTTTTTGGAGGGGATAACCAAATATTTCAAAACATTCGGGTTAGCAGATTCAAAATTAAATTGCAAAATGTTGTTTTATAATTTTGATTTTTTTTCCAAAAATCTCGACGTTTCGGGTAACCATTTTTAAGTTTTTGTTGTCGATTTTTCAAATTCTCGATTTTTATTTCGTCAGTTTTTCAGGTTTCAATGTTATAATTTTTAGATTTGACAGTTTCTCGGTTTTTCGATTTTTACATTTTAAGATATTTTTATTTTTTGATTTTTCAATTGTTGATTTTTTACTTTCGCTATTTTTTCAACATTTCGGTAATTCCATTTTTTTTTTATTGTTCAATGTTTCATTTTTTCAAGTTTTCAGTTTTTTTATTTTACGGTTTTTCGATGTTTATTTTGACATTCTTCAACTTTTGAATTTTACAATTTGTCGATTTTCCTATTTCTAGAAAATTTTGTTTTCCGTATTTTCTATTTCTCGATTTTTAATTAATCAGTTTTTCGATTTTACAGTTTCTTTTTTTTAAGTTTTCAAATTTTCAGTTGTTTTTTCAATTATGAAGTTTTCAGTTTCTCAAGTTTTAATATTACAATTTTTAAATTTCTCGGTGTTCAACTTTCGTTTTTTCTATTTTTGATTTTCAATTTTGCAATTGTTCGATTTTTCTGTTTTTTAAATTTGCAGTTTTTTTCATTTTTAAGGTTCAATTTTTCCTTTTCCAATTGTTGACCTCTTAATTATTCGATTTTGAGTTTTGTTATTCGATTTCTCAGTTTTTCAGTTTTACAATTTTCCGATTTTTTTGATTTTTTGAAATTTCATTTTTAATATGGTTGTCCTTTTCCAAGTTTCATTTCTTCGATTTTTTATTTTCTCAATTCGAGATTTTTAAATTCTTGTTTTTTTTAATTGTTAATTTTTCAATTTTTCCGTGTTTCGTATTTACATTGTTCGATTTCTCGATTTTTTTAGTTTTTCTTTTGGCTTTTTAATTACCCGAATTTTCAGTTTCTGTATTTTTTCAAATCTTTGAATTCTCGGTTTTTAGATTTTTCAGTTTTTCAGTGTTTCTTCTTTTCGATGTATAATTTTTCAATTTTTCCGTTTCTTTTTTACAATTTCTTAATTTTTTAGTTTTCAGGTTTTCATTTTAAAATTTTTGGATTTTGATTTTTTTTTGTATTTTTTATTGTTTAATTTATATAAGTTTTTCTTTTTCGTTTTTTCAGTTTTTCACTTTCTCCATTTTTAATTAGTCACGGTTTTCAGGTTTTAATATTACAATTTTTCGATTTTTCAATTGTTTTTTCAATTATCCCATTGTTCAATTTCTCAATTTTTTCATTTTTCTATTTTTCAATTTTCAAATTTTTCGATATTTCAAGTTTCATTTTTTCGGTTTTTTCAAGTTTTCTTTACTTTTTCAGTTCTTCGATTTCTCAATTTTTTCATTTTTCAATTCAATTCAAAATTTCGGTTTGAATCAATTTGTCCTTTTCTTGGACAATTAAAAAATGACAAATCGAGAAAATGAAGAAACAATAATCGAGAATTTGAAAAATTTTGTATCGAAAAATTGTAGAACTGCTCCTTTTTGTCGATTTTTCAATTTCTCGATTTTTAATTGTTGCATTTTTTAAAGTTTCGGTGTTACAATTATTCGATTTTGCAAAATTTTAATTTGGTTAAAATTGGAAATCAAGAGCTTGAAAATAGCAAAATTGTTTCGTTTTTACAATTTTTCAATTTTTCGGTGTCTCAATTTTTTAGTTTCTCGATTTTCATTTTGAAATTTTTAGATTTTCATTTTAAAATTTTTGTATTCTTCATTGTTTCAACGATACAATTTTCCGATTTTCCAATATTTTGGTTTGGATAAATTTGTTCTTTTGCTGAAAAATAAAGAAAACACGAAATTGAAAAATTAAAAAACTATAAAAGTTTAAAACTCAAAAAATTGTAAAATCGAAGAACTAACAAAGCAAAAAATTGGTCTAAAGAGTTTAGACAGTACTTCGCTCGCTGTCGGAAACGTGACGACTGCATGTCTATTATGTTTTTTTTTCGCAGTAGATTTCATAATTTTTTTTTGAGTCACCCGGTATATGCAAATTCAAAAAATATGAATGGAATGATAAATTACAAAGTACAGACTCATCATTTTTGTATATTCTAAATAGGATTTATTCGGCAAATTTTTGAGCTGACGTCATCAGTTTTTTGTAGAAGATAACCAAATATATTTTGACTAAAAATTTATAATGCTCTTTATAACCTTAAAACATTTGCAAGATTTCAAAACATTCGGTTCTGGAGTTCCTGATTAAATCAATAAAATACATTTACCCATTCATTATTTTTTTTGAGTCACCCTGTATATGCAAATCCAAAAAATATGAATGGAGTGATAAATGACAAGTACAGACTCATCATATTTTGTACAGTTTACATAGGATTTATTTGGCAAACTTTTGAGCTGACGTCATCAAGTTTTTGGAGGGGATAACCAAATATTTTTTGACTAAAGATTTATGATGCCCTTTAGAGCCTTAAAACATCTGCAACATTTCGAAACATTCGGGTTAGCAGATTCAAAATTAAATTGCAAAATGTTGTTTTATAATTTTGATTTTTTTTCCAAAAATCTGGACGTTTCGGGTAAGCATTTTTAAGTTTTTGTTGTCGATTTTTCAAATTCTCGATTTTTATTTCGTCAGTTTTTCAGGTTTCAATGTTATAATTTTTAGATTTGACAGTTTCTCGGTTTTTCGATTTTTACATTTTAAGATATTTTTATTTTTTGATTTTTCAATTGTTGATTTTTTACTTTCGCTATTTTTTCAACATTTCGGTATTTCCATTTTTTTTTATTGTTCAATGTTTCATTTTTTTCAAGTTTTCAGTTTTTTTATTTTACGGTTTTTCGATGTTTATTTTGACATTCTTCAACTTTTGAATTTTACAATTTGTCGATTTTCCTATTTCTAGAAAATTTTGTTTTCCGTATTTTCTATTTCTCGATTTTTAATTAATCAGTTTTTCGATTTTACAGTTTCTTTTTTTTAATTTTTCAAATTTTCAGTTGTTTTTTCAATTATCGAAGTTTTCAGTTTCTCAAGTACAATTACAATTACAATTTTTAAATTTCTCGGTGTTCAACTTTCGGTTTTTCTATTTTTGATTTTCAATTTTGCAATTGCTCGATTTTTCTGTTTTTTAAATTTGCAGTTTTTTTCATTTTCAAGGTTCAATTTTTCCTTTTCCAATTGTTGACGTCTTAATTATTCGATTTTGAGTTTTGTTATTTTTGCAGGTCTTCGGTTTCTCAGTTTTTCAGTTTTACAATTTTCCGATTTTTTTGATTTTTTGAAATTTCATTTTTAATATGGTTGTCCTTTTCCAAGTTTCATTTCTTCGATTTTTTATTTTCTCAATTCGAGATTTTTAAATTCTTGGGTTTTTAATTACCCGAATTTTCAGTTTCTGTATTTTTTCAAATCTTTGAATTCTCGGTTTTTAGATTTTTCAGTTTTTCAGTGTTTCTTCTTTTCGATGTATAATTTTTCAATTTTTCCGTTTCTTTTTTACAATTTCTTAATTTTTTAGTTTTCCGGTTTTCATTTTAAAATTTTTGGATTTTGATTTTTTTTTTGTGTTTTTGATTGTTTAATTTATATAAGTTTTTGTTTTTCGTTTTTTCAGTTTTTCACTTTCTCCATTTTTAATTAATCACGGTTTTCAGGTTTTAATATTACAATTTTTCGATTTTTCAATTGTTTTTTCAATTATCCCATTGTTCAATTTCTCAATTTTTTCATTTTTCTATTTTTCAATTTTCAAATTTTTCGATATTTCAAGTTTCATTTTTTCGGTTTTTTCAAGTTTTCTTTACTTTTTTAGTTCGTCGATTTCTCAATTTTTTCATTTTTCAATTCAAT